TTTATCATGAAATTTTAATTGGCTATTTGGATTATGTTAAACAACATAGATATATATATGCTCATATCTGGGCTTGTCCAGCAAATGAAGGTGTTGATTATATATTTTATCTTCGTCCATTTGAACAACGTTTACCGAAGCCAAAGCATCTACATGATTGGTTTAAAAAAATGCTTGATAGAGCAATTGCAGAACATATTGTTATTGATTATAAGGTAAAAAATATATATAAACTAGCGGGAATTCGTGTATACTGCACGGCAGCGTTTTTTTTCTCTAGCGTACGACCTCAAAACTTTAATCTTTCACTCGGTAACAGACACACAAACATTCGACATTATGTACATAGAAGCCCTACGATGTAATACCCTTATATCGCTAATAGCCTATGCAGCCTTACAGTCTTATACCGGATGGTCCAAAAGTAAGGAAAAATAATGGGTATCTAATAATAACTGATGAAAACTGTTAAAATGATATTTTTCGTACTTTTTATTGATGTAGAGAGCTGAAATTTTTATTACATATATATCTAATTAAGACCTTTTATTTCTGAAGGTTTTAGCTCTCCACATCAATAAAAAGTATGAAAAATATCATTAACAGTTTTTCATCAGTTATTATCGGATACCCATTATTTTTCCTTACTTTTGGGCCACCCGGTATATAGATGAAACCTTTGTTAATTGAATGTTCAATGAGTTAAAAAAAACTCTAGTGGTTCTTCTTCAATGAAGTTATCAGAAGGCATTACTTCATTCTTTTTTTTGTGTGTAAAACTAAGGTGCTATTTTTTGAATTAATTATTATATAAGAAGGTATCGCGATAAGTAGATAAACGTTTTTCATGATATTGATTTATTTGCATAAAAAGTAAGAGTTTAGAAAAAAAAATTTTTTTATTGATTTAGGATATTATGAAAGATTGTTTGGATAATCAAGTAAAAACAGTTCTTGACATTCCATATTTCGATAGTGATTTTTGGCCGACGACTATTGAAGAAAGTATTGAAAGTATGTTTTATTATTGATAATAAATATTGAATTTTTATTTGATTCTATTTTAGAACTTAATCAAGAAGAGCAAAGACCACAAGATGTTGAAATAATACCAATTATAGAAGATGAAAACTGCAATGTTTCTATTGAATCAGAAGATGCGACAGAAGTTAGTAGATATTGTTCAAATTATTTTGTAGCTAAAATTAAAATTCATGTAAACATATGAATAGTATTCTATCGAATGAATCTATTCCTCTAATCGAATTTTAATAGAAACTATTTAAAACTTGATTTTATTTTTATCTTAATTTAGATTTCTGGTAAATGTAAATCTGCAAGTACACATGAAAATAAAAATTCGAAGAAAACGATAAATCAACAAGAACTAGCAAAAACTCTTATGTCAAATTGTACTAATTTACTATCGATGATATTTTCAACTATGGA